ATTGTCTAAAAAATGATAATAAGCCTTAGGTTATATGTGTATGGATAAATGTTACTAATATAGGTAATCTTTTAATTGAAGTTCATATAAATTTGTCAATATTGTCATTGTCTAGTTGTTAATTTATTGTATGCCACAAAATAATTAAATTTTCTTATAAATGAACTCATAGTGTTAACCATGTCCATTTTTGAAAGTCTTTTAGTCATTTACAAACAATTACTGTTTACTCTGGTTCTTTTGCAAAAGTGCTTAATCTTCAGAGAGATTAATGAAAAGGACTCTGATAGTCTAGAATACAGGTTTCTGATTACTTTAAGATCACTTTAACTAAACTGGGTAAGAATTTCCAGAACTCTAATGGAAAAATCAGATTCAAGCAGAATAAGAATAAAGAACATAAGATTAAATGAACTGATAAGAATGATTGTAATTTTTATGACTTTTTGCTTGAAACATGCAAGTTCTTTAATGTTTCGTTTTTTAGATTCAAGAAAATCTTTTTCTTTTTTCTCTTAAGCTATAAATGAATTTGGTAACTTATATCTTTGAAAATAGAACTAAAACATTTATGTTTTTGCCCTGGCCAGTGTAGCTCAGTTGATTGAGCATCATCCTGTGCACAGAAAGGTTGCTGGTTCGATTCCTGGTCAGGGCACATGCCCAGGTTGTGGGTTCAATTCCTGGTTGGGGTATGTGCAGGAGGCAACTAATCGATGTTTCTCACATCGATGTTTCTTTCTTTCCCTCTCTATTCCTCTCTCTCTCTAATCAATTTAAAAACATAAAAAAACATTTTATGTTGCCTGGCTGGTGTATCTCAGTGATTGAGCATCGACCTATGAACCAGGAGGTCATGGTTTGATTTCTGGTCAGGGCACATGCCCGGGTTGTAGGCTCAATCCCCAGTATGGGGCTTGCAGGAAGCAGCCAATCAATGATTCTCTCTCATCATTGATGTTTCTCTTTCTCTCTCTCGCTCTCTCTCTCTCTCTCTCTCTCTCTTCCTTCCTTTATAAAAAATAATAAAATAAAACCAAGTTTCATGAGTTTCACAATCAGACAAGAATAGCTTAAACATGATGGTAACTAAGAGTGATACTAATATCGAGTTTTTGGTCACTTTGATGTATGAGAAGATAACATAAAGGGGAGAATTGTCAAAGTAATGACAGAGGTCATTAGACTGAGGTGGTGCTAATACTTTGGTGGCTTACCTAAGCAAATTGAAAGCTAAGCTAAAGTCAATTCCTGTGAATGCCTCCAGGTTAAGAAAAACAATCAGAACAGCCAACTGGGCTTTCCCAAATAATGTAACCATGCTCAGGCAACATGGCTCAGTGGTTAAGCGTTGACCTATGAACCAGGAGGTCACAGTTTGATTCCTGGCCAGGGCACAGGGCTGGCTTGCTAACTCGATCCCCAGTAGGGGACGTGCAGGAGGCAGCCAATCAATGATTCTCATCATCGATGTTTCTATTTCTCCCTCTCCTTTCCTCTCTGAAACCAATAAAAATATTTTTAAAAATAATGCAACCTACTTAAGCTACAGCCTAGCGAATAATTTGCCTTGCTTCCTCACTTCTATAAAAACCTTGTCCCTAGCTTCTGTTGATGGTGTTCCTAACCAATTCCAGTTTGGCACTACTTGACTTGAATTGATGTTTGCTCAATTAAACATATAAAATCAAAAAATTAAATGTGCCTCAATTGTTCTTTCAACAGTACATAGTGTTGGTGGTATTAAAGGGACATGGAAGCCATCATGTCATCATGTACTACTAGTAGAAATACACTTTGTATTTTAGTGAGAAATCTGGTACTTGGAGAATGGCATGAATACTCAATTTGGACATATAAAGGTAAGAATCAGAATTGGTCCCTGCAGTCCAGGATCTCTCAAGTCAGCAAAGGACATAAGGTCTATAAAAACATGCCTGGTACAGGATGAACGTAAGAAGTGTCACATGTTCTCATACTCTCTGGGACTCCGATAGGTAAAGGGATAGCAAATAAATGGCCTTTTTGCTACTATTCTCTTACTCTCTGAAATTGCTGTCATCAGAATCAAGGCTCATACCAAGTGGATTGAAACTGAGCATCAGGAAAATGCCTTGGCTGATTTTCATGCACAGGTAGCAGCAGCAGCAGCAGCAGAAACTGTAAGGGTTGTGGCATATGTAAATGAAGTCCTTTCTGCTTTTGAAAAAATGATCCCTTGTTATCCAACTTTTCCTTTTGTCATCCTGAGGTCCTTGCAACACAGCAGCAGTCATCTCCTGAATCAGAGAAATCAACAGACAAACTGGTTGTAAATTTAGTCAGGGCTATGGGAAATTAAATATGGCTGCTTGGTTCTTCCAAGCTTCCCAGCAAACCCCATCTACTGGTTTTTCCATTCATTAACCCACAATGGTGCAGCTGTCTTAAATAATAAGTAAATATTCGTGTGGAGACTGCTATAAAATTGTGAAAAACGGCCACCTTTCATGTTCATAATCCAGAGCCTCAAACCTCCTCCCAGTGGACCATTGGAGTACCTGCAATTGGACATCATTTCATCTGCCTCCTAGTATGGGTCACCAATATGTTCTTTATTTTTTCTGGATCTGTGAAGCCTCCTTCCCTTGCGGCAAGACTGGCCCCCCACAGTGGCAAAGAAACTGTTGAAAAATGTGTTTCCCACTTGGGGTTTACCCTCCACAATATCTAGTGACTGAAGCACCCACTTCACTGGGAGAATCATAGGAGCTTTAACTAAAACCTTACAAAGTTCTTGTAATCATCCCTGCTCCTTCTCACCCTCAATCATCAGGCAAGGTTGTAAGAACAAAGGGAATTCTTAAACTCGAAATCTCTAAACTCACTGAAACTACTCAACCTCCTTGGCCTCAGGTATTGCCTCTGGCCTTTCTGACTGTTAGAGAGCAAGATCTAAATTTTAGCCCGGCTGGCATGGGTCGGTGATTGAGCGTCTACCTATGAACCAGGAGGTTGCTGGTTGGATTCCTGGTCAGGGCACATGCCTAGGTCGCAGGCTCGATCGCAGTAGGGGGCAGCCAATCAGTGATTCTCTCTCATCATTGATGTTTCTATTTCTCTCACCCTCTCCCTTCATCTCTGAAATCAATAAAAGTATATTTAAAACAAAAATATTTAAATTTAAAAATTTGTGATTCATAAATTGGACAGCTTCCAGGCTAGCTGATAGGAGCTCTGAAACGTATGAGGCAAAGGATTCTATAGGCAGAAGGGAGCAGAACCAAGGAAGTTATACTAGGCAGAAAGGTGGAGTGATTATTGCAAGCTTCCTTTCCCATATCGGATGGATGGCAGGTATTTACCGGGCTGATTACCTAACTAATGGAATTCCTGATTGATTTACGATTTCCTTTTGGGGAGACAGCAGAACTGTAAGTTAAGTGTCTATTTGGTGACAGTGGGCTTAGCATCAGCAACTCCATTTGGTGTCTGTTGTCTTTAAGAAGTTATTCAAGCCAAAGCCTGTTTGGCTCAGCGGATAGAGCGCCGGCCTGCGGATTGAAGAGTCCCGGGTTCGATTCCGGTCAGGGGCACGTACCTGGGTTGCAGGCACTTCCCCAGTGGGGGATGTGCAGGAGGCAGCTGAACGATGTTTCTCTCTTCAATGTTTCTAACTCTCTATCTCTCTCCCTTCCTCTCTGTAAAAAATCAATAAAATATATTTTTTTAAAAAAAGTTATTCAAGAACTTCCTGATCAGCATTAATTAATTAGCCCCTGCTATCCCCTATACGATTTTAAAAATTTACTCAGTTGAGTTTTGTTCTTTAACAGAAAAAAACAGCTAGAGGCGTGGGGAGGTAAGTTTTGCGTGCCTGTGGCTGGGAATAAAAAAGCACTTCTACCCCCGCTTGTGGTGAGGGGGGAAGAGGCTGGTCCTGGAAACTAGCATCTGGTTCCCCTCATTGAAGGCGGCCCCAGGGTGTAATGAGTGATCCCTTATCTCCTTCCTGCCAGGACCCATCAGCGGTCAGCTAGATCTCTCTGGTCCCTGTTTTGACCCCTAGCTTTGATCCTATTATTCGCCGGGGGAGGGAGGAGGCAGGGGGTAAGAGGCCCCAAGGGAAGCCCTGCACATACACTGGGAGGGGAGTGTGTCTTAGTAACAAATTAATTTATAGAAAATTATTTTTTTGTGTGAAATCCTTGGGTGAAATATTAAAGAGTAATATTAAAGAGCACAGGGAATGACCGCTCTGGCCAAGCCCTAGCTGCACCATACAGATAAGACCATAGCTGAATACTACCCTTAGGAATGACGACGTATGTAAACCTGATAGACACCTTCTGGTTGACGCACTGTGATTGATAACCAGGTACTCTGATTCGCACTTGTGTGATGACGTATGTTACTGAGAGCCACCGGGACTGCCGTGGGCCAGCACAGGCTTAAAAAACGGGTCCCCGACTTCAGACATCGATCGTCCTCTTGCTCCACGCTCAACGCTGCCTTGCTCCACGCCCGAGGACAGAAGAACGGCCGAGCCTCTGATCGGGAGACAGAGTGGGAACACGGGCCAAGGCTGATAGAGCTGTGGGCCCGGATGGCATGGGGTAGTGGAGGGCAGGCGTGGTGCGGGAGTAGCGGCGAGTGTTGGGGATGAGCCCCGCCCCCCTCCGCGCCCCCCCCGCCCCCCCCATGACTCTTAGACCGTGGCGGGCCCGCGCTGCACTGGAACCGGGAGAAGCCGAGACGTTGGCCCTCCAGGTTCCTAGAGAGGCCGCCGAGGCCCGAGGCTGTGACGCGCTTGCGCGACCAGATGGGCGGTGAGGCCCGCACTGGGCGTGCACTGCGGCCGCAGGGCCGACGAGGAGGCCGCGGGAGACGGTGAGTGACCCGGCGGGGCGCGGGGCGCGGGGCGCGGGGCGCCGGAAGCTGCCGTGCGGCGGGGTTGCGGGAGGGCGGCGGGGGCGCTTGCCTGCCCTGCGGGGGGTCGGCGGCGGCTGAGGCCGGGCCTGGAGGCTGCGCGGGGGCCCGTTGGCTGGTCCTGGACCCCGTGCCCGCAGCGCCGAGGGCGGGTCTGGGAGCGCTTCGCCGCCCGGGGCGCCCCGCCCGGAGGAGACCATTTGGAGGAATGGTTTCCGCGCTTTCTCTCCTCTCCTAATTGTGCAAACAAAGCTGCTCATTGCCGACGGCTAGGGACGCGGGTGAGTGACAGAAAAGTAAAAGGAACTGCAATCTGGCGATGTTTTCGTCGGGAGGCTTCCTGATATTGAAAATTTTACGCATTGTTATGCAAACTCATAAACATGCATTACGAAATGGGCTCCCATTATTGCTTTTAAAATCTTACTGCGATCAAACAATGCCATGATGCAATATACATAGCATTTACCAAATGATACATAAACATTTACTGTTTTCACCATTTCAAAATGTATAATCGGTGCCATTAAGTCCATTCATACGGTTGCTTGTTGGAAAACTGTATCTTCCATTGGGGTAATGCAGTTCATATACTTGATTTTGGTGCTAGCATTATGGTAGCACTAAAACATGTTTCCAAGTAGAATTAAAAGAAAACATTTTGTTTGCTATTTTTTCCCCCATAGTACACAGTGCCCGAGGCTGTAAATAGAAACATTTTGTTTGTTAGAATTGTCTACAGAATGAGAGAGTTGTATGTAAAATGCAGTTTGTTAAGCAGGAGGTGCATCTCTAACCTAATGCCAGGGGTTCTGCCTCTGACCTGCATAGGCCTAGGAAGTCAAGGTGTCCTCAGTTAAAAGGGGTGGCCAGGAAAGAGCATCCGGTTTCAAACGGCTTGTGGTTCAAAAGTGAAGACTCATTCCTATTCGTCGGTTGCTTTGCAAGGAGTGTTTTTAGCTGTTTTTTGATTAAGGGTTTCAGGGAATTTCCATCTGTTAATACACACAAGTACATCCGCGAGGGACTGACCACCAGGCTGCTCTCTCACATGTTAGGTTAAAGCTGAAGATATCAGACAAATTTTGGTTAAAAAAGTAATCCTTGCCTCTGCCAGGTGGCTGGCTGGGTTGGTTGGAGCGCCGTCTGGTGCACCAAACTGGTTGTGGGTTCTATTCCGGGTCAGGGCACAATCCTGGGTTGGGGGTTCTATCCCCAGTCAGGGGGCTGGTATGGGAGGCAGTTGATTGATGTTTCTCTCTCATGTCATGTCTCTCTCTCTCTTTTTCACTCCCTCTCTTCCTTCCTCTCTAGAGTGAATAATCATATCCTTGGGTGAGGATTTTTTTAAAAAAGTAATCCTTCCTGTAAGCTGAAAAGATGGGAATGTTTTGGAGATAAACTTCTATATGTGCTTAAAAGGGAACTGGCAAAAGCGTAAGAAATACGAACTGTTCCATCTTTAAGTTTTCTGTGGCTCCTATAAGCATTCTGTGATGTCAGAGAGTTGCTTGAGAGTAAAAATGCATAAAGCATAGTAAACATAACTTACCATATTTTGCAGTCTCCAGTATTTTTATATCAGAAACAATCTGAAGGAGCGTCCTCTTTTTTTATTATACAACATAGCACCTGTCACTGTCTGAGATACCAGGTGTTTTATTAATTTCATTGTCTGCCTTCCCATAAGGTCCTCAGGGCAGTGCTTTTTGTCTGCTGTATTCACTGCTGTGCCCTTAGTGCTTAATACATAGTAGTTGCTAATTAAGTATTTGTTAAAGAACGAGTCCCTGTTGGAGATAAGAAATCACTGTGTTTTATGTCCCTGGATTGCTAAATTAATCCTAAATATCTAAGATAGAAATAAATCGAAAAAAATGGTAACAACTCAGACATCTTCAATGTAAAACCTTTTAATTTTGGTAATTGTAGACTTACAGAGGGTTACAGAACTGTACAGAGTTTCCTTATTCTCTTTACCCAGGTTGCTTTAAGCTAGTATCTTGCATAACCATAGTACAGTCATCAAACTTAAGAAATTTACAGTGGACAATCTGATTAATGAAACTGATGACTTTAATCAGAGTTCATGAGGTTCTGACTATTAACCCTTTGTGTTCCAGGATTTAATCTGGAATCTCTCATTTATTTAGTAGTAACCATGTCACCTTATTTATTTATTTATTTTTAAGTTTGTGGCAGTTTCTCAGTCTTTCCTTGCTTTTTATGGTGTTGACACTTTTGAAGTTGTGTTTTGAGAATGACCATCAATATGGTCTTGTTACATGTTTTCTCCTGTTTTGAGAATGATACTGATGTGTCTTGTACTGGTGATATTAATCTGATACTTCTGCATTTCTTAACTGAAATTTTGTGTGAGGAAGGTTTGTGCCTCACCCCCTTTTGTTTGTTTGGTCAATTAGTTATATCAGTGTGTGGTGTCGGAAGTGGAACTTCTTTGGCTTGTAATGCAGTGCTGCTGTTGTTCATTTTGTTGCTTAAGCTATTCCCGCGTTGGCCACTGAGAGCTCTCTCAGGTTGCGTGTCTCCCTTGAGGTGCCCCCTCCTTTTCTGTGTCTTTGCCTGACTTTCTGGCATCACAATTAGCATCTTGTATCTTCTCTCCTCTGGCCTGGAATTAACCACTTTTCCAAGGACACAGGTTCTGTTTATTAGAGAACGAACGGTATTTAGATGCCATTAGGTTTGAGGTTATTTCTTTAATCCTCGCCCGAAGATATGCTTTCATTTATTTTTTATTTATTTATTTTTTTTTAGAGAGAGAGATCCATTGGTTGCCTCCCACACGCACCCCAATCTGGAATTGAGCAATGCTCCAACAGGGCCACTTGGCCAGGGCAAGCTCATTTCTTAATTGAGATATTTGTAAGTATATTTTAACATTTTAAATACGTTCCGGGAGGGAAAGCTTTCTTTAGTGGCGATTATTGACAAACTTGTTTGCGTATTGTCCTTGTATAGCATAAACTTATGTACTCTCATATGGGTAAGAAAAATTTGAGAGTGAGAGACTACTTAATCAGGATTTTTAAAGGAAAACAAACAAAATTACATTGCATCTAAGTTGAAGGAGCAAAATGACGAAAAGAAGAAAATGTCCCTGAAAAATGGCGAGACGATGGCTTGGGATTTCCCCTGTACTTTTCAAAGCCATTTCTGTTCATTGTCGGAATGAGGTGGGTTAGGGTATAACTCTTGCTGAGAAGGGCCTGACCCAGCTCAGGTTGCTTCCTGGGCCCTGGGGGCTCACATCTGTGGTAGAACTTTAACACGTTGATGAATGAAGCTTTTCTGCTGTCCTCAAAGGCTAGCTGGGACATGAGTCATCCTGTGGCATTAGGATACCTGAATTTTACTGCGCTGGTTCAGTTCACTGGCCCCCGTAGCGTCCTGTGCTCTGGGTCTTTCATTCAGAGTTTGAAAGGCCCACTCCTGGACCTTTTACCTTTAGCTTTATCCAAGCTCATAGACCTGGAATCCTTTGCCATATTATCAGGCAATCACCCTCACTTTCCTGTTTGTCAGTTTTTTCACCAGCTAATTACAAACACTTCACTATCTCTTTGGACCTTTCGGCACAGCTCCTTTAGAATATGCCAGCTTGGAGGCTTATTTTTGGTGCTAATTTCACTGTGGGTCTCAATTCCCTGAGTTAGGTCATTCCCATGTATATTTCCTTCTGGTTGCATTTCTTCAAAATGTTTGTCTGGCCTCAAATTCATTGTCTTTAGCCTCACTGCCAGGTTTCTCTTCACTCTCAGCCTCACTTTTGTGTTTTCATTCTTGAGTTTTCTTGCTCTCTCCAGTCTGTTCTGCTAGTTTGGCGGGGAAAGCCACTCTCCTCCTCCTTTCTCTGACCTCCAGCTTCCTCTGAACGGCGTTTCTGCTTCCTGATTGTGCTGCGGGAGCTGGAGCCTGCCCCTCTGGCTCCTGAAGCGCCCTTCCCTCCCTGCCTTCCTTTGCTATGGTGTCTTCAGGTCTCCTTTTCCAGGCCTTCAGTTATTAATTTACTTCTCTTGTTTTCTCCAAATACTTCCTACCCTGTCCCATCCCTCTTTTTCCAAAGCAAGGCTTCATTCTTCTCTGCTGAAACTTCAGCAGCCTCCTCAGCTCGCATGACCCTTAATGTCGTTCTTTACCTGAATTCCTGCCCTGGAGCAGGGCTGGAACTTCTCCTAGTAGCTGGATGATGGCATTCTTTCTGGGTGAGTGTTCTTCCTGTGTCAGTGACAGTAAGTTCTTGTGGGCCTAGCAGTGTTACAGCAGAAGTTTGGTCAGAGGGGGAGACAAACTGCACGCACTCGGAGGGTCAGAAAAATCCGTTGTATTCCGCATCGGTGCTGGCCCAGCAGAGTCACCTCCAGAGGCTGAGCACAACCTCGTGGCCCACAGTTCTTTTCAAGGTGCGCAAATTCGTGCACTGGGCCCCTAGTCTTCTATAATAATAAAAGGGTAATATGCTAATTAGACTGGACATCCTTCCTGACGAAGCCAGGGCCAGAGGGAAGCCAGCCTGGGTCCCAGGTGCCTGCGGGCGGCCAGGGGAAGGAAGCATCCTGAGTTCCGAGTGCCTGCCGGCAGCTGGAGGAGGGAAGCCTGGGTCCCAGGTGCTGGAGGGACCCGGGCTGCCAGAGGGAAGCTGATGCCGGCAGCTGGGGGAAGGAAGGCCTACTCTTGCATGAATTTTTGTGCATCGGGCCTCTAGTTGTTTTATAATGAATGTAGGAGAGGAAGGCTTTGTTTTAGTATCATGGGTGAAGGTAGTGGTTTCTTTCTTTCTCTTTTCCTTTCTGTTAGGGAAAAAATGGGGGGGGAGGACAACAGTAATTTTCATAATTCACAGAAGTTAGCCCAGAAGAGAAGGCTGCGTCCTTGCCACTGGCTGCTGTGGGTAGTGGTTTCTTTAAATTTGCTAACGGTGGTAAGGGATGGAGGGTGCCACGGTTTCAGGGGCGACGACCATCACCTGAATCTTGGTGACTTTGCTTCTGGTGCCAAGGCCTGCTGTCCATCTCAAACTTTGTAGATTTTTGTTTTAACGCTTTTCTTTTTTTTTCTTAAAAAATGTCATTTGTATTGAGGTAGCATGGGTTTATAACACTGTGTTTCAGGTGTGCAGCATTATAAAATGACATCTGCATGTAGTACTTCATGCTCACCACCGGAATCTAGTTTCTGTCCGTCACCAAGGATTGACCGGTCTTACTTGTTTCCCCTCCCCCTCCACTCCCCCTCCCCCCTGGTAACCGCCAATCTGTTATCTGTCTAAGTTTGTTTGTTCTTTTGCTTGTTGGGTTTGGGGGCAGCATGTTCCTTTTTTCCTTCTCTGCCTCACTTCCCAGTATTTGTCTTACATTGTTCTCTTTGTTCAGCCAGCCTGGTCTGATTTGGTTGCTGAGTGGCTAAAACAGAGCTAAGGTCACCGGGATTTTTCCTCTTTTTTCCAGTCGCCTGAGCACAGCCACTGTTTGCACACAAGTTCCCTTCAAGAACGCGCTGCCCCTTTTCCTCAGGGCCTTCTCTTCAGTCCAGGGTGGCATTACTTGGTGGCTTTGTTTTTTAAGCAGAATTATCATTGATTATAGTTATTGATCACTACTCATTATAAGAGTAGTGCCTAACAACGCAGGAGACAAACAGGAGGGGAGAGCCCTCTCATTCTAGCCGCCTGAGAAGATAATGGCTGAGGACTCGGTGCTGAGGCTTAGGAACTTGTGCATATGCAAACTGCTTTAGTTTTGTTCATCTCACGACTAGAGTTCATAACTATAATTCATAAAAGTTTGGATTTTGTCAAATACTTTTCTGTGCCTATTGACATCATCATGTGATACTTGTTTTTTATTTTACTGATATATTAAATTACTTTGATTACTTTAATCTTGCATTCCTAAGATAAAGTCATAGGGTATAATTTTTCTTAGATGTGGCTGGATTCAGCTTGCTAGTATTTTGTTGAGAATTTTTGCATTTATATTCCTAAAAGAGATTGATCTGTTTGGTTTTGGTATCAGGTGATACTGGCCTCGTAGAATGAATTGGGAAATGTTTTCTCCTGTTCTATTTTTTGAAGAGTTTGTGAAGAATTGGTATTATTTTTCTTTAAATATTTGGTGGACTTCAGCAGTGATGCCTTCTGGGTAGTTTTTGACTACCAGTTCAGTCTCTTCACTTCTTACAGATCTAGTCAAAATTGGTGTTTCTTCTCGAGTCAATTTTATCAGTTTGTGTTTTATAATAGTTTGTCAATTTCATCTAAAATATTTGTTTGCAAAAATATATTTTAAAATCTTTTTATTTTTGTAAAGTCAGTAATATGTTTCCTCTTTCACTTCTGATTTATGTAATTTGAGTCTTTTTCTTTGTCAGGCTAGCTTACGATTTATCAATTTTGTTCTTTTTCCAGTGTCTTAAGATGGAAGGTTAGGTTATTGAGTTGAGATCTTTCTTAATGTGAGTATATCCGATAAGGCCCTGTACATATTTACTGTATTCTGGGATATTATCTCAGTTTACCCCAAAGTATGACCATCTAGCCGTGCTGATACTTGGCAGGCCCCACTGTGCAGATGCTCAGATGCCCTCTTCTCATACATCCAAGATGATCTGAACTAACAGGATCAAGCTCCACCATCCTTCTCACATGCCTCCTGGACTCTAATATTGGTTATTTCATTCTCTTGCCAGTGACGTCTGATGTCCCAGTAAATGGCATTGTCTGCTACGGTGCTGAAAAGATACTCCCAACGTCCCAGCGGCGGCACGGCTAACCTGGGCTTGGTTTGCACTCTGCTGTGGACACCCTAAGCAGGAGTGATGCCTCCAGGCAGGTGGTATGCGGTCCATCCAGCGCAGGCCCAGGCTTCACGGGAGCGAGAACGCCTTCAGCTGGTGAAGAAGGAAGAAGAGGATGAAGGCTACACTGCAGTGCAGGCTCCTAGGCCCCAGACACTCAACCTTCCTGGCCAGGAGCTGTTCCGCCAGCTCTTCAGACAGCTTCGCTACCACGAGTCTTCTGGGCCCCTTGAGACTCTGAGCCGGCTCCGGGAGCTCTGCCGCTGGTGGCTGAGGCCCGACGTTCTCTCCAAGGCCCAGATCCTGGAGCTGCTGGTGCTGGAGCAGTTCCTGAGCATCCTGCCCAGTGAGCTCCGGACCTGGGTGCAGCTGCACCACCCTGAGAGTGGCGGGAAGGCTGCGGCCCTGCTGGAGGAGCTGCAGAGAGACTTCAGTGGGACACCATGGACGGTGAGTTGAGCAAGTGTGCAGTGCCCAGTGAACTCTGCCTGCCAGTGAGCCAGCTTGTTTGGGGGTAGGGTTGGCCTCGGAACCTTCAGCCCTGAGGAATGCAGGGGAAGTCTTCCCTTCTCAGTCCCGTGGCACGTGAGCAGCTGAGAACTATACCCTAAGCCAAGGACCTTATAGCAGGCAGCCCTTCCCGCCTTCCCAAAGACGATCAGCTGCAGGAAGAGTATCCATAAAACAGGAACATATTTTTGGACACAGTGACTTAGGGTATACAGAGTCCATCTCCACCTATTGTCTAATTGCTGACCTGTTAAGTGGGGGTGATGTCTCTTGCTTGTAAGGAGAGGAGTAGAGTCTGGACTCGTGGCCTCTGAGAACACGTTAAGACCTGAAGAGCAGCCTGCATGTGCCATAAGCCTTTGAGGGTTGGCTCTGTGCAGGGAGGAGGCATCCCAACCTCAGTGTGCTTGCCCACATTGTTGTTCCTTTCAGAGCCTCAGTTTATTGAAAAGAAAATGCAAAACTGATCTAACAGTGAGAAGTTGCTGGGTATGTATTTGCCTATCATGTGCTTGGCCCTGGCCTTGGTGCTGGATGTGGGGCTGCCAGTCCCAGTGCCGGTGCTAGAGCCACAGGTCAGTTCAAGTGCACTCTGCCTCTCAGCGCTTCCTACGTCTTTGGATGCTTTTAAAATAGCATTTATCATTTTTGTAGGCTTCTTTAAAATTGTTATTTCTATAAAAATATGTATTTCTATAAAAATATCTTATTTCTAAAAAATAATCAATTCATGCATAAATAAAAGTTACTTTCAAGATTTCTGACACATATTGACATACTTCTCCCCCAAATTTAATATAAAGTTAGACCAGTCACCTAACACACCTGAAGATAGTCTAACAGCCGTAAGTGGTCATACAGCAACACAAGGGGTGACGATTACAAAAGAAAACCTCTTGGCTCAACATTGGGTCCTATTTTTAAAAAATCTAAAAGAGCAGTTATTCTTTTTATTAAAATAATGAGATCAAAAAGATCTAAAAAGTGATTTATCAGAGCAAATAAGGTACACCTCAGGTATAAAATTGTGGCTTGGTTGTATGCAACTCATTTAGGTCTAGATGTGAGGTTTTACAACCCATGAAAACATTGCCAACTGAGCAGAGAGGGCCAATCTGGTCAAAAGCAGTTAGAAATTAGAAAACATAAAACAGATGGGGAGAAAGCCTCCCAGATTCTGAAAAATAACAGAAATGCTCAAGATGCATATAAAGGTACAGTGTCACTCTGGGGTTCATCCAGATGACCAAAATGTGAGAAACCTAAGGGGAGGGGTAAGGGGGGGTGGGCCCTGCAAAAGCTTATCCTCCAACTCATTTGGCGGTGCTTCCATGGTCTTCCTGTTTCTTTATCCTCCCTTTGCGGGGTTTTGGAGGACTAGGAGACAAATTACTGCGATGAGTTGATCATCTTGAGTCTGTAGATCAGTCTCAGATGTTTCATGGCCTCAGCTCAAGTTCCATCTGTGTCAGTGTAGATAATGAGTTGGCCCCAGGGCCCGAAAACTTGAGGTTCACTGGCTGTAGTTTTCTGTTCTCATTGTTACACCAGGGACAGCCTTGCCTCAGACACCAGAGCTACTTGAAGGCCAAGGCAAAGGCTGCCTCATTCTACTCGGGTGGGCACTGTCATTGTTTGCACCTGAGACTTTTTCTTCTGCGGTGCCATGGCTGCCCCTCACAGTTAGCTTTGCCTCTCTGTCATTGTTACTACTTCCTCAGGCTTACAGGCTGGGAGTCCTGCCCCTTTGGGGTCCCTTTGCATATGAGCGCCTAGAGCAGTGCCCTGTACTGGGTAGACATTATGCATCTGCAGCTCTCCTGTGAGTCATTATCAGTTCAACTCAGGGACACATGTCTTTCGTTTCTAGGTTCCAGGCCAGGGGTGGGGGCTGAGGACTAGTGGGGAGGGTGTCCTGTGGCACCTGCGGCCTGACCACAGTGTTGTTACTGACTTGCCAGCTACTTTCTTTTCCCTTTTTTATATCTTTATTGTTGAGAGTATTACAGATACCCCGTCCCCCTTAAAGTCCCCCAACCAGCAACGTTCTGGCTCCACCTGTCACCCCCTGGCCCACACTAGAGCCCAGGGGGGCTGAGGGGTGAGGGGTCCTCCCTGGGCTTCCTTCTCCTTTCCCCTCTGCCTGTAGGTGGTAAGGGGCCCAGCTCACCCTCCTCTGGGCTCTGAGATTGGCCAAGTTGCTTTCTAATCCCCGTGGGGATCCTCTCCCGTTTTCTTCTTGCCAGGACCCAGCCCCTGCCCAGAGCCCAGATGTGCAATGGATGGGTACGGGAGCCCTGCGAGCCGCACAGAAATGGCCCTCTGCTTCACCTCCCAGGAGCGGCTCTGCTCGGGGGGACCACCTGGAGCCTCCCTATGAAATAGGAGTGCGTGACTTCCTGGCTGGGCAATCCGGTACTCACCGCCTGGCACTAACACCCCACCTCACCTGAAGCCACACTTCCCACATTTCCTGTCGTGTCATCTTTTCGCCACCTGCCCTCCCACGACAGTCCCTTTCTATCCTGGCCCTTAGCTCTGTGTCTTTTTTTCTTCTTCTTTGTGTTATTGCTGTTTTGTTTGTTTCTCATTCGTTAGCTCTGTGTCTTTTCTACCTCATCTGTGACCCACGTTAGCCTGGCTCCTCCTCCCGTTGTATGCCCTGCCCTCACTTCCATTCCCTGGCCTCCAGCAAACACAGGGGAAACATGAAATGGGTTACAGCAGTCCCTGCCTGCTCGTGGGGGGAAGGGTGGGCTGCCCTGTCTCATGGCTCTTTCTTCTTCAGATCCTCCTGCTGCCCAGGTGCCTGCCCTTCCCCAGGAAGAGGGCTGCCCTGGAGATGGGGCGACAGCCCAGCCTCAGGTGAGCCACAGAACCGGCTGTCCTTCGTGACGTCCCAGTGTTGCTGCCTGACAGAGTAGCTGCAGCTCCCCCTCGTCCTGCCTCTGTCCAGTGACCACACATCCAGAGGCTCGCAGACCAGACTCTCCCCCAGAGCCCAGGGCTCTTCTGCTGGATGATGGTCTTCTCTTTCACCCTGACCAGTCCATCCTGTTCTCACTCAGAGCAGCCCATTCCCCTGCCTCTCCCTGACAGCCAGGGTCTGTGGACTGGCTCTAAGGCAGTGGTTCTCAACCTTCTGGCCCTTTAAATACAGTTCCTCATGTTGTGACCAACCATAAAATTATTTTCGTTGCTACTTCATAACTGTCATGTTGCTACTGTTATGAATCGTAATGTAAATATCTGATATGCAGGATGGTCTTAGGCGACCCCCGTGAAAGGGTCGTTCGACCGCCAAAGGGGTCGCGACCCACAGGTTGAGAACCACTGCCCTAAGGTCTCCTTCTGTTTCTTAGGAGGCTCTGACCTTCAAGGACGTGGAGGTGACCTTCTCCCAGGATGAGTGGGCCTGGCTGAACCCTGCTCAGCGGAACCTCTACAGGGATGTGATGCTGGAGAACTATGGGAGCTTGGCTTCTCTGGGTAAGGCATCGCTGTCCCCATGCTCTGCCCACCTTTACTGCTGCCTTCTTAGTCTTCATTATGGTGCATCCGAAGGGGCCTGACCTGGGTGTACGTCCAGCCCTATAACTGCTAACCAGGTCACTGAGTCTGTCATCCAGTCTTTCCTCTTGAAAAACAGGATAAGAATGCCTGGTATGCTGGTTACTGTAAAGACGAAGTCCTATGTGTCAAGTTCCTAATGCATTTAGGCATCTGCAATAGGTTAGCTGATTGAATTGCTCTGTGGTTCCCATCTCCAGAGAACCCTGGTGATGCTTTTGGCTGTGATTTCTCTCAGCCTCTCTTGTCTCTGCTCAGGGCTGTTAGAGATGGCTGTCTGGGCCTCCTGCCTTAGCTCCACCCCCCCCCCCCCCCCCGCCTCTCTGGCCTCTCCCTCCTCCCACCCACAACGCCAGGCGTGCGAGGGTCCTTGAGACTAGTTCTGTGTGACTCAATCCCGTCCCCTCCCCTTCTCCTCTGCAGTGGGGCCACTCGCCAAACCTGCTCTGATCTCTTGGTTGGAGGCAAGGGAGCCGTGGGGCCTGAATGTCCAGAGAGCCCAGCCTAAGGCGAAGCCAGGTGCTGCCCCGGCAGGTGAGTTCCAGAGAACCTACCAGATCCTGCTCCTCCAGCGTCTGCTCTCTTTCTTACCATCTTTCACACCAGGTCAGTCCTGGGGAACTTACTCCATTGTTTGCTAGAAGGAAAATCCTTAGTACTGTTGCTAAGGGTGCCGGGCCCTGGGCTTCTTCCCTCCAGACTGGCCTATTAGACATTCATTTCTGGCTGTGCCCCTTTCCCAGAAGCCCTTTCAGTATCATGATTGCTCACCGGAGGGTTTCACCGTTCCTTCTCGTTTCCCGTTCATTGATGCTGCACTCCCGTTGAATCCCCAGTGCCTGCCCCTTCCTGCTCTGAGGAGCCCTCATTCCACTCCTGCTCCTCCTCTCTGCTCCGTCCTCCCCTGTGGTAGGCTTGCTCTCCAGACCTTTTAGCCGGCTCTCCTCCGAGCCCCACCCTTGGCCCTGTCTTGTGCTGTGGGTCCTCTCCCCTCTCTTGCTATTAACACTTGCCTCTCAACCCTTTCTTTTTTAACTGGATGTGAGTTCTGCACACGTCTAGCTCCTGTGCCCATCTTGCTTCTCCTCCCTTCCCTGTCACCTGGGACGCCCTTCCACTTTGCCTTGCTGTGACTGTTTTGTAGACGTATTGGCAGTCAGGCACAAGCCACACCACCCAAGTTTGTGGCACCTTTTTGCCCCTTGGTGCTTTTCCAAGTGTGGGGAAAGAGTGCATTCTCTTGTGTTTTATTTTGTGTCAGGAGGCGAGCTCCAGATTAAATCAAGCAAGCTCATCCTAAACCCCAAACCTTTGGAAGATGCACAGGCCTTAGCTGTGTCGTCAGGATGTCGTGTGATGAGTGTTTCTGAGGAAACAGGGCCCAGAGAACTTGTGGAACAGAAGAGCCCGTTACAGGAGGGAAGTGGCAATCCCACACACGCGAGTGCTAAGAGAAAAGAGGCCAGTTTCAGTCACCGGACAGGAAAGGAACCGGAAGACTCGGGCGGCGGTAGTAGCGTCAGTCTCAGACACGTATATTTTCGAGTTCCCAAAAGAAAAAGGAAGCATGGCTGCGGCCGACACTTCAGAGGGAGCTCATACCACTATGACTACAAGGAGTACGGGAAAGGCCTCAGGCTCATGATCAGCGGGTTTAACCTACATCAGAGAATTCACGCTGGACTGAAAGCCCCCTCGAAGGATGCGCACGGGAAAGACTTCAGCCTCGGCTTGCATCACCAACGCAATCTTCACGTGGTGGGGACTTTCTATAAGTGCGCCGACTGTGGGAGGAACTTCAGCCGTAGCTCCTACCTCGAATACCATCAGAGACTCCACACTCAGGAGAAGCCCTTTAAATGCCGAGTGTGTGGGAGAGCCTTCAGGTGGAGCTCCAACCGCGCGCGACACGAGAGAATTCACACTGGACTGAAACCTTATAAATGCGATTTATGCGGCAAAACTTTCCAGCGCCTGTACGCCTACCACCTGCACCAGGAGTCCCACGCCAACCAGCTGTATCTCAAAACTAGGCGGCGTCAGGAAGCGCTCGCCTACGGCCCCCGGTTGGATCATCATTTGCAAGACCAAGGCGGGGAGAAGCTCTTTGACTGCAGCCAGTGCAGGAAATCCTTCCACTGTAAATCGTATATCCTGCAGCATCAAAGGATCCACACGCAGGAGAAGCCCTTTAAATGTACCAAATGCAGGAAAACCTTTCGGTGGAGGTCCAACTTCTCTCGCCACCAAAGAATGCACCAGGAAGAAAAGTTCTATAACCCAGACAGGGGCAGCGAAGACTGGAGGGAGGCCCCCGGCTGCAGTCAGCCCCAGAGCGACCCCCCTGCGGAGGAAGCTTTCCTGTGCCCGCAGTGTGGGCAGACTTTCCCCGGGAGGAAAGCGCTCCTTAACCATCAGAGGACCCACACAGGCCAGGAACCCTACCGCTGCGGCGAACGTGCGAAGGAGTTGACGCACAGGTCGAAATTGATCGTTCGTAGGAAGCAGCATGCCCTCAACAGAAGCCCTGATGACCGGCCCTCCCGCAGCCAGGACGGAGCGCTCCAGGTCCCCCCGAGCAGCCTGGCCCCGAGCAGCCCGGCCCCGAGCAGCCCGGCCCCGGAGAAGCCCTTCACGTGCAGCCAGTGCGGGAAAGGCTTCCAGAACCACTCCTTCCTCCTCATCCACCAGCGGGTTCACACCAGAGAGAAGCCGTATCAGTGCAGGGATTGTGGGAAAGCTTTCCGGTGGAGTTCCAACCTCTCGCGACACCAGAGGAGCCACTTTCTGGGAAAACGGCTGCTCCTGTACCGTGACAGCGGGGACACTTCCGATGTGCAGCCACAAAGCCTGGAGGACGAGAAGAAAGCCTTCTGGTGCCAAGAATGCGGGAAGAGCTTTACGCGTAAAAGAACCCTCTTAGATCATAAGGGGATCCACAGTGGAGAGAAGCGCTACAAATGTAACCTCTGCGAGAAATCTTACGATCGAAAGTACCGCCTGGTGAATCACCAGAGAACCCACACGAAAGAGAAGCCTTTCAGATGTCAGTGGTGTGGGAAAGACTTCATCGCAAAGCACACCCTCTGCATCCACCAGAGGAAGCACACCCGCCTGGCGCCGTCGGAAGGCAGCCTGGCCGGGCCGTCTTCCTCTCAGGACAGAGGGCCGAGTTTGCAGGAGTTAAAGCGGAGCGGGGAGAGGCCCGTGGAGGACCGTGAGCAGGGCTCCGGGCCCAGTGGACCACAGGACTTACCCGCGGAGAAAAAGTGTCACAAGTGCAGCACGTGTGGGAAAGCGTTCAGCAAGACCTCCCAGCTCATCAGCCACAGGAGATTCCACACTCGCGAGAGGCCCTTCAAGTGCACCAAGTGCGGGAAGACCTTCCGGTGGGCTTCCAACCTGGCTCGGCACATGAAAGGGCACCTTGGTGATTAGCTGGGGCCTGACGGAGGGAAGAGGCGGTTCCCGGAGGACCTCAGAGGGAGGTGCTGCGGGAAAGTGCTCCCAGAGGGCCCAGCCCTCTTCATTGTGGAAGCTGGTCGCAGAGAATCCCGAGGATTCAAAAGCTCAGAGGCCCCTCGTTTTACCTGCTGGGGATGAGATGCTCTTTGGGGACCTTCCGGAGACTCGGGCCCTCAGGAGTGGCCTTTGTGCCATGGCCTGGAGCTCCCCGGCCAGGTCTTCTTCCGTAACTAAAGGGTGATGTAGGCCAGTGCCCTTCTGGGTTGGCGAGGCGGGCCGTGGCTGCTGGGAAGGGGCCCTGAGGTTTTCCTCGGAGTTTGATCTGTTCTGGTTCCTATTCTGTTTGACCTTAAAGCAACAGCAGCTGCAGGAACTCCTCCGAGTCACCCCATATGCCTCCTGGGGAGCTCTGGCTGCAGCTTCAGCCTTCACAGCTGGCTTGGATCTCTGCTGTGGGCGCCAAGTGGAGGAGAGCAGGTGTCGGGTCCCTCACTGGAGCGTGGAGCTCTCCCATCCCGTCCCCATCCCATTCCCCAGGTGTGCAGCTCTGTCTGTTAAACAGAAATGTGCTGAGCTCCTCCCACGTGCCAGAGACACCGCAGTGACCCGAATAGTGCCGTCTTGGATCTTTACAGATAAACATACGAGATCCATAAACGTTTGGGTTGGTGTGTGTGTTGTGGGCAACACGCATCGGAGAAGCGTCAGAGGGCATGCTGGATTGGGAGGTGGGTTGTGGTTTTAAACAGGCTGGTCATGAAGGGCCTCGGCTGAGAAGGTGACATTTGAGCAAAGACCTGAAGAGTCGGGAGTGGGCCCTGGCGGTCTCTAGAGCCACGCACAGGAGGTGGGCTCCTGTCTGGTGTCTCAGGGAGTGACAGGGGGCCCCTGGGCTGGAGTGGAGTGAGCCAGTGGAAGAGAGGGGGCCAGAGAGGCGGTGGGCAAGCCACAGGGCATCGGGGGCCTCACTGGGCCTGGACGATATAAAAAAACATATATATTTATTGATTTTAGAGAGAGAGGAAGGGAGAGGGAGAGAGAGAGATAGAAACATCAGTGAGAGAAAAACATCATCAATCGGCTGCCTTCTGCATGCCCCCACCGGGGATCGAGCCGCAACCCAGGCATGTGCCTGACAGGGAATCAGTGACCTCTTGGTGCACGGGACAGCGCTCAACCACAGCCACACCTGCCGAGTGCTTTTGGATGATTTGAGTTTAGAAGTGATGTGGTCTGAATGTGAATTGCATCTTACAAGAGTTAACCACAGACCCAAGGACTCAGTAAAATGTCGAAGCTGAAAATGTTTTATGCAGTTATCCCTGCTGCCTGTTTCTATGCGTGAACACCCCCCTCCCTACCTGCCCCCATCAAGTATCTGAATATTCTGAGACCAGCAGCTCTCCCCCGGTGTAAGCAGTTGTGATTGCAGCTCTGACCTCTGCAGGCTGCCGTGTGCTGTCTCCCTTCACCTGCAGTGCCACACCCGTCCATGCTGGCTCAGGACCTCACTCTTCCAGGCCCAGCTTTCCCTGACCCTCGTCCCTTGAAGCCCTCTCCCCTGCCCCGCCTTTCCTGGTCCCTGTTTCGTGCTGTCTTAGGTGTTGTCTGGATTTGCAGAAGTTACGCTCACCACCACAGCCAGACTGAGGCCAGGGCTGAGTGCTTGCTTACCTGTTGGCCACGCAGAGATTTTGCACAAAGTTGCCTCTGTTGAGGAAGATAGAGCTGAGTTTAGTTTAGCTGAGTCATGATTGGAGTCTTTTGAAAGGGTTCTTGAGTGAAACGTCGACTGGAGGCCACCCACAAGTGCACTCCTGTAATTAGGAGCCCGGCTCTGTGTGGTTCCGAGCCACAGGCACCAGTGAACAGTTTCCGACGGCCCCAGTCACAGTACCCATCTCGCACCCCTCTCTGGCCTGGAGGGCACACCCCCTTTTCCAACCCTGCCCTGCCTTCTCTCCCCAAGAACTGAAGTTGGGGCTGAAGAGAGCCAGGTGGGCATCAGCAGGTCTTTCAGTCAGCTGTCCGGTGTCAGCCCAGCCTTGCTGACCGAGACCGTCAGCCCACAGAGTCGTGTACAGAGAAGAAAGCCCAGGAAATGTGAATGAAACGGACCATCTCACACTTACCACGCTGGCAAATTGTTCATGTGGGTGTGTGGGCCCTGGGCACTGACTGCTGTGGGAGCGGGAACTGATGACGGTTGTGCGAAGCGGTTTGCAAAATCTTGTAAAGTTGTGTGTACTCGGTCACCTAGTAATCTGCTCCTGGATAAACCACAGAACAACGGCTGTGACACAGGAGATGCGTGTGAGCCTGCATTGCAATACTGTTCGTTGCAGTTGGCAAGATTGTTGAGATAGCGAGATTGGGAAAAGCCTACATTCCCATCAGCAGAACAGAGAAGTCAGTGGGTTGTTTTGGAATTTTGGGAAGCGAGTGTGAAAGAGCCGGAGTCGCATCTTTCACGGATAAATAAAACGACGCTGAGAAACTGGTGAAGGTACAGACAAGTACCGTTTCTGTAAAGTTCAACGCTGTATCTGTGAGTCCGTTACTTAAACGTCTTTGTGTTTCACTTTTTCTGTAAAATGAAATATTTGTGCCAACCTCACAGGTGACTGGGGTTGGGGGTAGTTAATGAAATGGTGTAAGTAAAGTGGTTAGAACAGTGGCTGCCGTGTGAGCACTGGTGGCATATAGTAAACCATGTTGTTACTGTTCTGCACTATATATTTCAGTGCTTCTCAACCTTCTGGCCCTTTAAATACAGTTGCTCATGTTGTGACCCAGCCATAAAATTATTTTCGTTGCTACTTCATAACTGTAATGTTGCTCCTGTTATGAATCGTAATGTAAATATCTGATATGCAGGATGGTCTTAGGCGACCCCTGTGAAAGGGTCGTTCAACTGCCAAAGGGGTCACAACCCACAGGTTGAGAACCGCTGATATATTTCCTGTGGACGCAAATTATATGAAACCAGAGTATGAAATCGTGTATTGGAACGATGTGTGAATGTCCTGCTCTGCCCTCCCAGGGCAGGGGTTGCTGATGAAATTGGAGGCTTCGCTTGTGTTTTCTTTTTAAAATTACTGTCGATGTTGGTCAGCATGTGGATTTAGTAGCATAGTGCGGTGGGTGCTTTTTTAACTGTCTGCTTAAAATCCTTAAAAATAAAAAGTTTTTACGCCTGGGCTCTGACATTTTCTGATTCACAGAGATCCTGGCTCTGCTTCACGGGGTGTTAGAATGCATCACTAATCGCTCCAGGTTCCAGGTTCCTCACCTGCAGCGTCGGAGCAACACAGACGGCCCCGAGGAAAGGAGTGGTTAACAGCCCTGCTCCTCGGGGTGGACACCCAGCAACGGCTACAGGGGAGGATGTTCGCCACGCGTGGACACGTGATCTCCAAGATGTGTGGTTTACAGGAAATCATAGGCTCAGTTTCCTTTAGCTCCTCCTTGCCCAATAATAAGTAAAGTCAGAAGCTGTAGACTCAAGTTTAAAGATGAAATGGGATCTGTGGACGGAGGCGCTTAGTCATTCATCCCACTTTTTTGGTAGGTGAGGAGGGTCATGAGCTCTCACATACCAGCCACCACAGCCTTTAAGTTCATGCCAACCCTGCCAAGAGGAGGAAAGGCTTTGCATCAACCAGGTTCTAGTCAGGGGCCAGAAACCATACCAATTGTTTTAACGAGAGCTTCATAAAGAATTGTTCACTAGCCCTGGCCGGTTTGGCTCAGTGGATAGAACATCAGCCTGCTGACTGAAGGGTCCTGGGTTCATTTCTGGTCAAGGGCCTGAACCTCTGTTACAGGTTCCTCCCTGGCCCAGGACCTGGTTCAGGGCACCTGCAGGAGGCAACCAATTGAGGTGTTTCTTTCACATCGATGTTTCTGTCTTTACTGCTGTCTTCAACTCTCTAAAAATAAATGGAAAAATAGCCTCAGGTGAGGATTTAAAATAAATAACTATATTATTTTAAAAAAAATAGTTCACTAGATATATCTGAATAAAAAGGCAGAAAGAAAATGGGGAGGCATCATGGAGGTGGTAACTGAGGAGCAGCTAACTCCCCCCTCCCCCACGCCCCCTGCAGGACTGCGTGAGCTGTAATATGAGGCTGACCCCCTTTTAGACGTTTGACCACTGATAACTTGAACTTTCAAGCTCTTTCTCTCACATCTGGGCAGGCTAAGCTGAAAGCCCAAGCACGCCTCAGCTCCAGAGAGGAAACGGGCATTTTTCATTGCACTGGAACCCTCACCCCTATCTATCTAAAAGCCTAAGTGATGGTTTGACCGGTAGCTATGATGCACACTGACCACCAGGGGGCAGACGCTCAATGCGCAGGCATGGAAACATGGAACAGAATGATGAATGTCCGAGGGAAGGGGAGGAGAGCAGGAAGAGATTAACCAAAGATCTTCTATACATACTAGAGGCCCATGCATGGATTTGTGCACCGGTGGGGGGGGGGTCCCTCGGCCTGGCCTGTGGGGATTGGGCTGAAACCGGCAGTCTGACGTCTCCTGCGGGGTCCTGGGAGGGTGCAGGGCAGGCCAAGGGACCCCACCAGTGCCCGAATTCATGCACGTGGCCTCTAGCCCACAATAAAAACAGCAGCTCGCTCCTTTCTGTCAAGGCAAACCAGCTGGCGTGTCTGTCCTCTCCCCAGGGAGCCTCATTACGTGAGTAATAAACTTTTCTGTAACCTGTTGATGTGTGTGATGTCATTAGTCTGGACATCTGAACCAGTTTAGGTGGTGATACAGTATCGGTCCCACCTCCACAGTGCAAGCTACAGAGCAGGAACAAAGAGGAGTGGTTAGAGTTGTTCACAGATCAGACATTGGCAGAACCCCTGTGAGCTGAACTCCGACCTATGAGGGGGTGAGCGCTGGGGCTGGGGCTCATCTCTGCACTCAAGAAGCGCCCCATGTTGGCCAGTCTCGAGCTGGACTGCACTGCTGCTCCCCGAAGAGGCTGCGCTGCTGGGGTGAGGGCCTTGGCAACAGGACAGGAAGGAAAATCCTCCTTGCATTGGGAGTCTCCAGAGAAACCTCAATGGGATGTATGTGTATATGTGGAAGGAGGTTTATGATGAGGAATTGGCTTGTGGTTATGGAGCGCACGCTCCAGCCCCAGTCCGATGGCTGGCTGCCGGGGACCCAGGAAAAGCCCACAACACGGGTGAAATCTGACGGCTGCCTGCCTGAGCGTCCTTTCTGGCCTGGGAAGGCCAGTCTTTTTTTTTTTTTTATATATATTTTATTGATTTTTTACAGAGAGGAAGGGAGAGGGATAGAGAGTTTGAAACATCAATGAGAGAGAAACATCGATCAGCTGCTTCCTGCACACCCTCTACTGGGTATGTGCCCACAACCAAGGTACATGCCCTTGACCAGAATCGAACCTGGGACCCTTGAGTCAGCAGGCCGACACTCTATCCACTGAGCCAAACCGGTTTCTGCAGGGGCAGTCTTTTTGTTTTGTTCAAGCCTTTAGCTGATTGGCTGAGGCCCACCCACATTATGGAGAACGATCTGCCCTATCATAGTCCACCAATTTAAATGTTAATCTCATCCAAAAACACCCTCACAGAAAAGCCCAGAATAACGTTTGGTCAAATAGCCGGGCACCCATGCGTTAGGACTCGCAGAGCCAGGGAAAGGCCCTGAGTCTGAAAATCTAAAGAAAGAGGCAAGGCCCTCCAGTGTAACAACTGGTAAAGGTTTGTTATTAAGGGAAACGGATTTGCAGCATTGCTCGGGCAGTTGCAAGATGAAAGGAGTCCCCGCACTGCTCAGTTGGCGCTAGAGAACGATATGGAGCAAAAATAAGGAGGCTGGGGCGGTGGGGAGGCAGCAGGGAATAGTCACATAAACGGATATGTGACTGTTTCCAGGTGCGGGAAACTGCCTTACATGCTTGACCAGGTCAGGACAACCGGAATGTTTTCTAGACGCAGCGCATTCCAGAGGGCGGGGGGGGGGGGTGCGGGGGGGGGGGGTGCGGGGGTCGGTGCTGGTTAATGTCAGGCAGACATGATCTCCATCAGGCTGTCTCCGGGGGCGGGGAGGGGGCTGGGATGCAAACAAACCTCTTGATGGCCCGGGTCCAGCAGCGCTCAGTCTCTCCTCCTCCGTACCCTGGCCAGGAAACTGACACACAAAATTGATCATCCCCATCCCACCCCTCCAGCACTGCCGCCTCCTTAAATGCCCTGGCGGCCAGGGAACCAGCTGGCAAGGCAGAGGTGTGGACTGGGGAGTTCCCACCCCTAGGCATCTGTAGAAGGCTGGATGTGAAACAGATCAGTTAATAAACTGGCACCACTTTTCTGAATCATTTTATTTAAAAAATTCCTAGGATGTTGGACTTAAAACTTTGAGGCCAATAATATGTATTCAGGGAATTATGTGTGTTAAGTTGTGGACAACTGCTCACTTAAAGGTGTAAGTTATGCCAGAAGCAGTTGATTTTACCCATTCACCTGGTAATAAATAGCTGTTGAACGTGACCTTATTTTGCTGCAATGAACCCAGACTTAAAAACCCCAAGAAGAGTCTGAGAATTATCTAAGACTCCAGTAACCACTTGGGAAAATATTCTGGCAGTCCTCCAACTGTTAAGCAGAGTTACCATATGAGCCAACAAATCTCATGTAAATGTCTCGTGGTGGTGCCCTAACTGGTTTGGCTCAGTGGATAGAGCGTTGGCCTGTGGACTGAAGGGTCCCAGGTTCGAATCTGGTCAAGGGCATGTACCTTGGTTGTGGGCACATCCCCAGTAGGGAATGTGCAGGAGGCAGCTGATCGATGTTTCTAAGTCTCTATCCCTCTCTCTTTCTCTCTGTAAAAAATCAATAAAATATATTTTTTAAAAATGTCTCGTGGCCCTTTAAAACTTACAGAACATAAATATCGGAAACAATACAAAGAATGGAATTTTGGAAAACCCGGTTCACCCTGGCCACGTTGAGCCGAGGGCATTTCCCACACTCTGGCATGTTACGTGGCTAACCCCCATGTTTGGAGCTGGCGCTACTTCCTACAGTGGGCTGAATCTAGGCTGGGATAGGCTGGGAAGCGCTTGACACAATAAAGACCAGGTTGCTAGGAGCCCCCAGTCTTCTAAGGCTCCCCCTCCTCTCTGAAGCTCCCTCCAATGAATCCTCCACTCCAGACCTTTCAGACAGGTGAGCTTCAAACTCCTCATTCCTTTCCAGTCCCCCAAGTCCTGGCCATCTGTTGAGCCCACTGTGCCTTTGCTATCAGCCACCCGGTTCTGGGCACACTGGAAGGAGATGCTGACTTGCCCATGGCCTTGGGGACCACCAGGGGATAGTGGGCAGACCCTCTCTGCCTGGGGCAAATTGGAGCTTCTCCTGGGATGCAGGTGTCAGGACCTTGAAGACGGGTTGACCTAGTTGATCGTCTATGCCAGGGGTGGGCAAACTTTTTGACTCGAGGGCCACAATGGGTTCTTAAACTGGACCGGAGGGCCGGAACAAAAGCATGGATGGAGTGTTTGTGTGAACTCATATAAATTCAAAGTAAACATCATTACATAAAAGGGTACGGTCTTTTTTTTTTTTTTTTTTTTTTTTTTTAGTTTTATTCATTTCAAACGGGCAGTAGTTTGCCCACGGCTGGTCTAGGTAGTGTGCCTTGACATTTCTCAGAGGGGACAGTCGCTGTCTGTTCTGAAGAAGGTGAAGTACCAAGCATGACAGAAAGTAGGACGAGTCCCCCAGACCTGCCATTCGGCCCACACCAAGGCGGCTTCCCCTGAGGTCAGGAAGCTGCAGCTTTGCAGCCCTGCCTGGCACTGGTCCTGGGCAAGTGCACGGGGGCAGGTGAGGGTGAGTTTCGTTGCTGCTGTGACTCAGGACCATGAACGTAGCTGCTTGGAACAAGAAACACTGATCTCCCAGAGTTGTGGGTCCTGAGTCCCTCGAGTAAGGCGTGGGACTCTGCTCAGGTCTCACACATCCAACTAGCGTTTTGTCCACCCTGAGCTCTTATCGGAGACTCTGGGGGAAAACCCAGTCCCAGCCAGGCTCACTGGTTTTGTTGACAGAATTTTCCTTCTCATGGTTTGCACTTGGCTTCTGGCATTATCGGGCCAGCAATGGCAGGCGAGGCCTCCTCACTCTTAGAATCCCTCTCACTCCTTGGGCAGTATC